TAAAGATTTACCCTATGGGTTAGTTCTACTCGTCCTATAAGGTTGCTATGAATCAGAATCAACTACAGGGCAGTGGGTTTCGTTTGGTGTATCCAACCTGGTGAGGAGTTCTTGTAGTGCAGTGGTTAAGTGCTCAGCTGCTAACCAAAAGGTTGGCAGTTCAAACCCACTAGCCACTCTGTGGGAGAAAGATGTGGCAATCTGCTTCCGTGAAGATTTACAGCCTTGAGATAGGTAGAGACTAGTGTTGATTTGGGTGAAAGGAAGGGCAGTGTAGCAAAGGTGAGTGATCAGCATGGTGGCACTGAGGAAGAGGAAGAGCACAACACAGGGAGGTACAAAAGAGGTACAGACAACAAAGATGAACCCTTTTACATACACAGCATTGCATTGTCAGTGATAATAGACATTAATCTATGCATAAACATAGATGGGTAGACAGCCTGCATGGTCAGGTATGTCTAGGCAAAGGGAAACCCCTTTGGCAGATGATATTCTCCGTACGTATTTGTGTGTGCTGTGAGAATGTCCAGATACATAATAGAGCTGACAAGGGACAAGGTTGTGGTGGCTTCTTGGCCATAGCCAGCTACCCTGAGGGAGCAAGTAGTTGGACCTGTGGGCTTGGGACCATGGTCGCAGGGGACATCAAACTCAATTGGCATTACCTACTACGCAAAACATTGTTCTACACCCTACTTTAGTGAGTAGTGACTAGGGTCTTAAAAGCTTGCAAGTGGCCATCTAGATGCAATGATGGGCCTCTTCTCATCCAGAGCAAAGAAGAATGAAGAAAACCAAAGATGCATGGAAACAATTAGCCAAAGGGACTGGTACACCATGTGATCGATTCTCAGCCTTTAAGACCATGAGACCAGAACTAGATGGTGTCAACCACTCAGAAAGGGATTGGTGTGGGAGATCCTGGATAGAGTGGGACAACAATGTGGAACAAAACTTAAAATCCCTGGGGAAAAAAAAAAAAAAAGACCAAGTTTATTGGTCAGATAGAGGCTGTTAAGACCCCTAGTTACCCTTCAGGGCTGGAATTGAACTCACTCCTGTGGCTTCCTGCCAGACAGTAGACAGGCATGTAGGGTGAACATTTACAGCAGGTCGATACTCTCCTTGGAGTGATCAGTCCAGTCACGGGAGAACAGAAGGGCATTGTTTGCGCAGGGAGAATGCTGGGGGGGAAGGGGCAGGTAGAAATGCATAGAAAGGAAGGACACAGAGAAGAGGTAATTGCAGGAAGGAAGTGGGATGAGGGCTGTTACATTGTGGGGAGTTGCCGCCAGTGTCATGAAACAAAATGTGTATGAACTGCTGTGTGGAAAATGAATTTGCTCTGTAAACTTTCACACAAATCACAATAAAAATTAAAAAAAAAAAAAAAGATTTATGGCCTTGAAAACCCTATGGGGCAGTTTTACTCTCTTCTAGGGTTACTATGAGTCAGAATTGACTCAACAGCAGTGGGTTTTTGGTTTAGTTTATAGTTGTCCTTTGACCATCACCAGCAACAACCATAGGACTCATCAGTCATTTACTTGGTCACTCACCAAACATGTTCTTTTATGCAGACAATATTATTGAGCAGCTACTATGTGCCACACAAGACAGAGACTGATCTGTCTCTGTAGCCATAGGCCCTGGCACACAGTAGGTGGCTGCAGTTATTAATGGTGGTGATGATCATGACCTGGCCCTGGTCCAGCCTTATCCTCAGTGGAGTCAAGGGGTGGGGATGGATGTTGGTGACTGACATCCTGACTCACTTTAAAGCTACAGTGAGGAGGACAGGATCCTCAGTGGGCTGGGCCCCAAGGCCATAATCCTGACTTTGAAACCTTGTGTTCTGGGCCACCTGCATTGCGGGGACACCTGGAAGAACCAGAAGTAGGAGGGGTCAGCACAGGGCAGATGCAGCTCTAGGACTCATACACCAGTTCCAGGGTGCAGAACCCTTTGGATCCCACCACCCTCTTCTTCCTCCTCCCTCTCCTCCAGGAAGCACCTCCACCTCCCAGTCAGAAACGATCCCCTCCTAGTCTGGTGAAGTTCCCTCAGCATGACTTGATTGATCTTCCTCTGGTCCCATAGGCTCTGGCACACAGTAGGTTGCTGCTCTTATTATTAGTGATGATGATTTTAAGGAACTAGTGATTATTAGTGATGATGATTTTAAGGAACTAGTGAGGAAGTCAAAGAGCTCTGGTGGCACAGTGCCTAAGACTTTGACTGCTAACCAGAAGGTTGGCAGCCAGCCACTCCATGGAAGGAAGATGGGTCAGTCTACTTCTGTAAATATTTACCACTTCAGAAACCCAATGGGGGTCACTATGAGTTGGAATTGACTCAATGGCAGTGGGTTTGGTTTTTTGATGTTAGCAGGGAAGTCAGGAATTCTTGGTATGAGTCTCAACTATGCAAAGTCTCAACTTTGGGCCTTTTTCCCCAGTTGTGAAATCCAGGGCATGGTTGTCTTTGGCTCTTTCTCTGAGGGAAACCAGGCGGCCCAGCACTAATGCAGCAATCTTGGAAGTTCTCAAGATTCTGAAAGGGACAGGTTCACTGCGAACTTGGAGGATCTCTGATTCCCACCTGGAGTTTCTGTCAGCCCCTAAAACCAAATCCACTGCCATCTAGTTGATTCTGACTCACAGTGTACCTTTAGGACAGAGTAGAAGTAACACATAGGGTTTCCAAGGCTCTAACTCTTTATAAAAGAATACTGTGACGTCTTTCTCCCCTGAAGTGGCTGGTGGGTTCCAACTGCCCATGTTTTGGTTAGCAGCCAAGCACTTTATTTGTTTATTATTATTATTGTAATTTGGGTGAAAGTTTACAGAGCAAATTCATTTTCCATACAGCAGTTCACACACATTTTGCTTCATGACATTGACTGCACTTCCCACAATGTAACAGACCAATGTCCCACTTCCTCCCCATAGTTACCTCTTCTCTATGTCCTTGCCTCCCATGCACTCTCGCTCCCTGAGCTGTCTCCCTGTGCAAATGCTGCCTTTCTGTTTTCCCACAATTGATGGCTCTAAAGAGTCTATCTGTTGTTGTTGTAATGTGCCGTTGAGTTGGACCTGACTCATAGCGACCCCTCCTTGGGTTTCTGAGGCAGTATCAGTATGGAAGTAGATTGCCCCATCTTCCTTCCAAGGAGTGGCTGGTGGGTTTGAACTGCCAGCCTTCTGGTTAGCAGTCAAGTGCCTTAGGCACTACGCTACCTGAGCTCCCAAGAGTGTATCTACTTGATGTAAATATTCACCCCATATGCCAGTCTGCTGTTTGGCTGGAAGCCACAGGAGTGAGTTCGGTTCTAGACCCAAAGGGTAACCAGGAGCCATTGTCTCAGGGGCCTCACCAGGCTCTATCAGCAAACCTGGTCTTTTTTTTACGATTTTGAATTTTGTTCCACCTTGTTCTCCCACTCAGTCCAGGATTGCCTTTACTGATCCCCCTCCGTGTGGTTGACAGTGGTAGCACCATCTCGTTCTTCTGGTGTCATGGTCACATAGGCTGAGGATCACATCATCTATCAGTCCCTTGTGTGAATTGTTTCCATGCGTCTTTGGTTTTCTTCATTCTTCTTTGCTCTGGATGAGGAAAGACTCCATCATTGCATCTAGATGGCTGTTTGCAAGCTTTTAAGACCCCAGTCGCTACTTACCAAAGTAGGATGTAGAGCAGTGTTTTTGTGTAGTATGTTACGCCAACTGAGCTTGATATCCCCTGAGATCATGGTCCCAAGCCTGCAGGTCCAACTATTCACTCCCTCAGGGTAGCTGGCAGTGGCCAAGAAGCCACCACAACCTTGCCCCTTGTCAGCTCTACTGTACACCCAGACATTCTTATAGCACACACAAATATACATGTGGAAACATCGTTTCCCAACCCTATACATGATCACAGGTACACTCCCTCCTGCCTACACATACCTGATCATTCAGCCTGTCCACCCATCTCTCCATGCTTGCCATAATGCTTGCCATCACCGACAGTGCAGTACTGTACATGCAAAGTGGTTCATCTTTGTTGTCTGTAGCTTCCGTGGACCTCTCTATGTCTTCCTCTTCCTCAGTGCTGCTGTGTCGATCACTCACTTTTGTTACACTGCCCTTTCCTTCATCCAAATCACTACTTGACTCTATCTAACAGTGTTTCTTCCCCTCCTCTCCCCTCCCATCCCTGGTAACCAATAAAGAAAGTTTCATTCCACATACTTTTTACAACAGTAAACTAATAGAATATTTGCCCTTCTGTGATGAATTTGTTTCACTCAGTATAATGTCCTCCAAGATCATCCATGTTATGTGGTGTTTCTCAGATTCTGCATTGTTCTTTAGGGTTGCATAGTATTCCATTGTGTGTATGTACCATAGTTCGGTTATCCATTCTTCTGTTGATGGGCACTTAAGTTGTTTCCATCTCTTTGCTATTGTGAACAGTGGTGTGATAAACATGAGTGTGCATATATCTGTCCTTGTCCTGCAGCCAAGCGCTTTTAACCACTGTGCCACCCAGCCCCTAGGCGTCTGATAATCCACATGACTGCTCTAGAATGTTCTTTCTTCTCTCTTGCCCCACAGGTGGACAGATCCAGGGCCCACATGGAGCAGTAGAGGATGAAGCCCAACCCCACAGGTTCCTCCCCAGAGGCCTGCAAAGCTGCCGGCCAGGGGACCAAGAGCTGCCCTGTCTGCCAGGCCTGGAGTGGGGTCTCAGGCCCAGGGTCTGGGTCAGGAGCCAGAGTGGGGACTGGTACAGTGCAAGCTTCTGAGTGGAGGCCTGGTGCTGGACCGGGACCTACTTTGATCCCAGAGTCTAGGTCGGGGCCTGGTGCTATCCTGGGAACGGGTGCTATCCCAGGGCCTAGGTCTAGGCTGGGGCCTGGGCCGGGGCCTGGTGCTGCTGCAGGGCCCGAGTCCGGGCCTGGTGCTGTCCCAGGTCCTAGGTTGGGACCTGGTGCTCTCCCAGCACCTGAGCCAAAGACTGGCACAGCGCCAGGGCCTGGGCCAGTTCTGGGGCCTGGACCCGGAGCTGGGTCAGTACCTGGGCCACAGCCAGGGTCTAGGGCTGAGCCCAAACGATCTGGGGCTGGGCTCAACCCCAATGAGCCAAAAGCAGCCCCACCACCAGTGCCGCAGCAGAAGGCTCAGGCCAGACCCAGCCAGGCTCCTAGGCAGAAGGCTCTGGTGACTGGAGGAGGAGGCTATCTGGGCTTTAGCCTGGGCTGCAGCCTGGCCAAGAGCGGCACCTCTGTCGTCCTGCTCGACCTCCGCAGACCCCAGTGGGAGCTGGCTCCAGGCACCGAGTTCATCCAGGTGCAGGGATGAGGGACTTGGAGGCCTGGTGGGTGTCCACGCTGGTGGGCAAGAGGAGGACAGGGTCTGAGGTCAAACCAGTAGTGTGGGTTGAAGAGCACAGGTCTGGAGTCGGGCTGCTGGGCTCCAGCCCTAGCTCCCAGGCTTCCCTGCTGTGCAGCATGGCCACCACATACAACACATTCCAGAGTCCCAGTGAGCTCACCCGTAGAAACGGGACAATGGTAACAATAAAGGGACAAGGATAACATCCTCTTCACAAGAGTCTCATATGGAGTTGCTGAGCTAGCGCATGCAGCACACCTAGCACCCTGTGACTTAGGGAGCTGATGGTGGCTGATGATGAAGGTACCATATAGCCCAACCAAAACCAAACTCGCTGCCGTCGAGTCAAATCCGACTCATAGTGACCCCTCCTTGGGTTTCTGAGGCAGTATCACTACAGAAGTAGGTTGCCCAACCTTCCTTCTGAGCAGTGGCTGGTGGGTTTGAACGGCCAGCCTTCTGGTTAGCAGTCAAATGCCTTAGGCACTATGCTACCAGAACTCCTACACCATATAGCATTCTATAGTAATTCCTGCCCACCAGCCTTTCTTGGCTCTATGGATGCTTAGCCTGGGAGAGGGCGGAGGGCCAGCTCTGGGACCAGCTAAATACAGAGTTGGTATCTCTGTTGCTTTGACTTGAACCTCCTGTTCCATCTCTTCCTTCTCTTTTGCAGGCTGATGTCCGAAATGAGGAGGCCCTCTCCCGAGCATTTCAAGGGGTGGACTGTGTCTTCCACGTTGCCTCCTATGGAATGTCTGGTGCTGAGAAGGTAAGCTCCTCACAGAGGACACCTGGAGTTAGATGGAGTGGGGCTCAGATCCTGCCTCTGTGCTCCACACCCCTCACACCCTTGTTCCTGTTATTGTTCTTCACTTATTGGGGAAGGGTTTCAGCCGCTCCCAGCCTGCATTGTGTGTTCCTGAGCCCAAATACCAGTTCTGCCACTTTCTCGCTGTGTGACCTACGGCAAGTTAAAGTAACCTCGCTGCACCTCAGTTTCTTCACCTGTAAATTGAGGACATTATTACTTGTCTTTTTACTTTTTCAAGGGGCAGTGGGACTGTCTCTCAGATATCTAAACATACACGTAGGCTTTGACCAGAAGTCACACTTGTTTGCGTATTTGTGCCATTGTTTCTTGCTTTTTTTATGGAAAGAAAAAGCAAATGTTTTATTTCATTTTCACTTACCTTTTTAAATTCTCCTTTCTTTATGGAGATCTCCTTCTTTGCTCTATGCATTGTCTTTCTGGAGAACAACTTTTAACATTTTTTGAAAAATGTATTTTCTTGTGTTTTTGGTGGAGGTCTGCACAGCAGTTTAGTTCCCATTCAACAATTCAGAGGGGTGTTGTTCAGGGACCTGGTTCCTCATAATGCAGGAACTTTCTCATGTTTCCATTCTGGCTGTTCTTGCAACATTGTAGCAAAATGCAGGAAGGAACCCACAAACCCATCCCCTGGGTATTATTTAAATGAATGTGCTGTATCCATACAATGGAATTCTACTGGGTTGTTCAGAAGAACAAGGTAACTAAATACATGGAGATACACAGCAATTTCCAAGGTGCACAACAGTGTTTGGTGTCCTCCTGCTGGTTTACAAAAGCATTCAGGTGGATACTTACTGACAGACTCACACATGTTTATGTGCTGTTCTTAACAAGCACAGATGGTCCTGCCAAGGAAACACAGGGCGCTGGTAACATCTTGGGAGAATCAGGGGTGGGAGGGAAACTTACTTTTCACTGCATGGTCTTTTTACTGTTTGAAGTATTTTTTTATAGAGATTGTATTAACTCTGAAACAAAACAACAGCAACAAGGACAAATACGTTGTTGTTGTTTGGTACTGTTGAGTTGCCTCCAACTCATAGCAACCCTGTGCACAGTAGAAAGAAACACCGCCTGGTCCTTTGCCAGCCCCATGATCCTTGCTATACCTGAGCCCATCATTGCAGCCACTGTGTCTATCCATTTTGTTGAGGGCCTTCCTCTTTTTTGTTGGCAAATCATGGTCCACTTTACCAAGCATGATATCCTTCTCCAGGGAATGGTCCCTTACATGACCAAAGTAGGTGAGACGAAGTCTGGCCGTTCTCGCGTCCAAGGAGCGTTCCGGCTGCACTTTTTCCAGGACAGATTTGTTAGTTCTTTTAGCAGTCCATGGTACCTTCAGTATTCTTCTCCAGCACAACTCAAAAGCATCAACTCTTTGGTCTTCCTGATTCATTGTCCAGCTCTTACATGCATATGAGGCAGTTGAAAAAACTATGGCTTGGGTTAGGCACACCTTAGTCTTCAAGGAGACATCTTTGCTCTTCAGCACTTGAAAGAGATCTTTTGCAGCAGATTTGCCCAATGCTATACATCGTCTGATGTCTTGACTGCTGCTTCAATTTGTGTTGATTGTAGAACCAAGTAAATGTAGTTTAAAGATAAATATACCTCATAGGGTTGTTGTGAACATTAAATGGGATGAGAGCATCAAGGCTTGGCCCAACCCCTGGCACACAGGAAGCACTCGCTGAAGACCAGTTGTTTTTGTTTCTCATATGCCAACCCCCTCACTAAGGCCCAGTCAGTAGTATTACTGTGCCCATCTTACAGATAAAGAAACTGAGACTGGGACAGCAGGTCAAGCATCGTATTGGGTCTTTCCCATGTGCCCTATTTAATCCTGCCAACCACCTAAGGTTTGCCTTCACTTTACAAGGTGAGGGAGCTGAGGGCCAGACAGAGAGAGTAATCTCCCCTAGACATACAGGGAGAGGGTACCAGAGCTGGACACCAGAGCCCTGGGGTGCCACGCTGCCCCGTGGGCCTCCAAGCTGAACATTCTCCACCTGCCATCCTACCCTGACCCCATGCCCAGCCCTACAGCCTCAGCAGCAAGGCTCCACCATGACTTCCCACCTCCGTCTTGTTTTTTAGCTGCAAAAAGAGCAGATTGAGTCTATAAATGTTGGAGGCACCAAACTAGTGATTGATGGTAGGCACTCTCGGCTGAGGTGTGGCCTGCTGTGTGTTCCCTCCTTCTGTCGCCCCCACTCCTGCCACAGGCCCAGCTCCAGGGGGCAGGCGAGGGGGTGGAGGTGGGACCCTCTCCCCCACTCCTTGCCACCCCAGAGGAGGGCCTGTGGGCCAGTCTTCACCCTTCCCTAACTGCAGACCTGCCCAGGGCCCTGCAAGGCTCAGTCAGCACAGCCATGGTGCAGCTGGGAACATGGGGAATGGAGTTTGCGCTCCAGACTTAGGGGTTTGGCAGTAAGAATGGTTGCTGAAGGGCCAGAAAGAAGCCATGTCTGGGCTCTCTGGGCTTGTCCTGCCTTGTCCTGCATTCTGTTTTTCTCTCTGATTGTAGAGTGTCTTTTTTCTCTGTCCCCATTGAGTGAGACTTTCTTCTGATTTCTCTTTGACAATTTAGCTTAGAGGCCACAGCCCCACTTAGAAGGAAAGAATGAGCAGGCTTAACCCCCAGGGGCCCAAGGAGCAGGGATGTGACCCAAACCCAAAGTTAAGAAGGAGAAGCTCTTCCTTCCTGAGCAGTTCTGGGTTCTGGGGAATGAGGGTGGTGTTGTGTTGGGAACAGGATGGAGATGGATGGATTCGCCCAAGGGAGGCTCCCCTGGGCACTTCCTCAGCTCACTGCCTGCTCCGTCTTGGCCCTGTGTGTGTTTGCATGTGTGTATGGTGCTGTGTGCACGTGTCGCTGCAGTCTGCGTTCGGCGGCGCGTTCCGAGGCTCGTCTACACCAGCACTGTCAACGTCGTGTTTGGCGGGAAGCCCATAGAGCAGGGGGATGAGGACACTGTGCCGTATTTTCCACTGGAGAAGGTACTGACTTCCAGGAGAAGTGGGTGGGGCCAACCCAAAGCCCAAAGGGTAGTGATGGGTGGAACCAGGAGAGGTATAGTCAGCCTCACAATGCAGGGTGAGTTCTAGGAGAAAGGGGGCCCCAACACTGGGTGGCACAGCCTTGTCCTATTTTATTTAGGTAGTGTGCCAGCAGGGACTTTGGAATCAGATGGAAGTGGTCTTGACCTTTAGCCAGATTATTTTATACTTTACTTATATGACCCTGAGCATAAGAAACTGAACCACTTAACCACTCTGAACCTCTGTTTCTTCATCTGGGCATGATAACAACATCTCTCTGGTGTTGTGGGGAGCAGGAAATGAGAAAATGTATGTGAAAGTGCATGTGAACATTAAGGACTACAGTCATTTATCCAATAATTTACCCAACACATGTCCAGTGTCACTGCTGGCAGGGCAGGCATTTGGGGATGGCAGAAACCTCCTGAGTCAAGTGGTCCTTGGTCATTGTCACTGGTCTGAACCCATTGCTCCTCTGCTTCCATGGCTCTGGAAGGAGATACTCTGTCTGGCTACGCAGGGGGAGAGGAGGGCTCTAGAGCTCAGAGCTGGGTGGTATCCCCATGGCAGTCCCCAAAATCCAACCTTGGAGTGCTCTGAAGGAAAGGTGCAGCTTGGGTCAGGCCAGACTGGACAGTGACCCTTCTCCAGTGGCTCTGTCCCCCCGTCCACCTGACAGCACATGGACCACTATTCCCGAACCAAAGCCATTGCTGACCAGTTGACCCTGATGGCCAATGGGACGCCTCTTCCAGGTGAGTATTATAGGGCCCTGCTCCTGCCAAATCCTCATCCTCTCCCAAAACAGATACATGACTCTAGCTTGCAGCTGATCTGTTCTGAGGCCTACTGTTTCACCAAAGGACAGTAGCCTGGGTCATTCATCATTCATCAGATTCTGAGCCCCTGCTGTGTGCCAGCTGTTCTGCCAGGAGTACAACCAGGAAGAAGTCAGACCCAGTCTCTGTCCTCACACTGCTCGCAGCCTGGTGTAGAAGAGACAGACTGGCATGACAGTGTGATGGGGGGCATGGAGTTGTGGGAGTCCCACCCCGGCCTGGATGGCCTTGGAAGGCAAGAGCTGAGGCCTGAAGAGTGGAAAGCTACTGTCCATTCTAGGAGGAAGGAAGGAGAGGGGAAAGGTCCAGGGCAGCAGGCATGTGGTGAGCGAGCCAGCATCAGGCAGAAGGGAGGAGCACGGGAGCCTGGGGCCGGGTCACGAAGAGCCCTGTAAGCTAAGTCAAGGAGCTGGGGCTCTAGGAGGAGCCATTGAGGGTAGACTGAACAGAAGGATGTTATGGGGAGATACGTGTTATAGAAAAATCCCCCTGGCCACCAAGAAGGAGATGGATCGGAGGGGCAGGAGGAGAGGCAGGGGACCAGTGAGGGCGTTGTCACCAGCATCCAGGCGAGTATGGCCTTCACCCTGCGCTGTTGGTGGCGGTGGGGATGGAAGGAGAGGATGGGGTCGAGAGCCATTGTGGAACTCCGTTGACTAGCATTTGGGGGCAGGACTGGTGAGGACCTGTCAGCGTCAAGTGTGAGAGGATGAGGGTAGGTGTTGCCAGCGGTGTTGCTAACCTGTCTGGTGGCACAGGAGGCCCTTTGCCAACTATGCAGCTGCAGTTGCCTCTCCTTGCCCTCCCCCCCCCATCTCCTCAGAGCTCTCCTTGCAGCCCCACGTGGGGCAGGAGGGAGAACAATCACTGACGCCCCTCCCTACAGGAGAGGGGACTGAGGCTTCAAGGGTAACTCAAGCCTAGCTCTCTTTTCTGCTACATAGAAGTGTATCCAATGTTAGGGGCCCTCTTTATATGTGCCTGTAAAACCAAATACCAAACTCACTGCCGTTGAGTTGATTTCCAACTTACAGTGACGCCCATTTGAGTTTCCAAGGCTGTAAATCTTTATGGAAGTAGGTCACCCCATCTTCCTTCTGTGGAGCAGGTGGTGGGTTTGAACTCCTGACCTTCTGGTTAGCAGCCAAATGCCTTATCCACTATACCACCAGAGTCCTCCCCTAAATGCCCATGAATAAAACAAACAAACTCACTGCCTTCGAGTCAGTTCGACTCATAGCAACCCCTCCTTGGGTTTCTGAGGCGGTATCTCTACAGAAGTAGATTGCCTAATCTTCCTTCTGAGGAGTGGCTGATGGGTTTGAACCGCCAGCCTTCTAGTTAGCAATCAAATGCCTTAGGCACTACACCACCAGAACTCCCATAAATGCCCATAGAATCTTTCAATATGGCAACTCGAGGCTTGAATTTTTTCTTCAGTTCTTTAAGCTTGAGAAATGGCAAGCGTGTTCCCTTTTGGTTTTCTAACTCCAGGTCTTTGCACATTTCATTATACTTTGTCTTCTTGAGGCACTCTTTGAACTCTTCAGCTTTTACTTCATCATTTCTTCCATTTGCTTTAGCTACTTTCCATTCAAGAGTAGGTTTCAAGAGTCTCTTCTGACATCCATTTTTGTCTTTTCTTTCTTCCCTGTCTTTTTAATGACCTTTTGCTTTCTTCATGTATGATGTTGTTGGTGTCATCCCACAACTCATCTTTGGTCATAAGTATTTGTGAAAAGGGTGTGGGGGAAGCATGGTCTGACCTCCTCTAGCTTCACAAGGGGAAGGAGGATCCAGAACAACATCAGCAACCCTCTGCTGATTCCCGTGAGGTAGAGGTCAGACATGCCACCACCCTCCAACCTTTGTAACAGTTCTGACACCGGTCCCTCCCACAGCACTCTCTTCTTCTCTGCTGGGTTTGATAATTCATTGTGGTGGCCACGCAGAACTCAGAGACCATCCTCACAATTACGGGGTTTAGTGGAGAAGTAACTGGTTACATTTCAGGATCAGAAACAACTCAGGATACAGTTCTTCAGTCAGGACAGCTTCTCAGCCACGCCACAGGCACACTTCTCTCTGGCTTCAGCCTTTGCCCTCCTCAGGCCAGTGTCACAAAGCTCCTTTAGCTTTCTCTGTGCCTGGAAAAGGTACAGCACTCTGTGAGCAAGCCTCCTGCCGAAGGGTACTCAGCTTGCTCGCCCCATAGGCCGGGAAGCCTGCTGCTCTTCTGGTGCCGGTCTCTTGGGTGTGCTGCCAGCTCTCTGCCGTATCTCGGCTGTCTCTCTGCAAAAGAGGCCCAGCGCGGGGATCTTGGGTCCAAGGCTGTGCTCCACTCCTGGTTCTTCTGATCTGATGGTAATGAGATCCCCCTTTTTGCCTCTAGGGTAGCTCATTTTAATCCTAATGAGTTGGCAGAACTTACTGAGCCCCATGTTGGAGTTTTATACACCTTAGTTGTGCAGTCCCACCCCACAAGGGTACCGTGTACCTTATTTACATTATCAACAAGCTCTCCAGTCCCCTTGGTGGCCACAAAGCACCTCATATTTACATAGTTCGACCCAGTCGCCTGGTGGGAGTCACACAGACTGGCTGGAAGAGCCATACCAAGTAATTCAGGGTGCCACGGTGTTCAGTGTGTCTCATCCATCCTTGAGACGGTCTCTGAATTCCAGTGGAATATATTTTGGATCTCATGAACTTGTTTTTAGTTTTCCTCAGCTTCTGCTTAAACTTGCAAATGAGTAACTGATGGTCTGATCCATATCAGCCCCAGGTGTTGTTTTGACTGATGATATTGAGCTTCTCCATTGACTCTTTCCACAGATAAAGTCAATTCGATCCCTGTGCATTCCATCTGGTGAGGTCCATGTGTATAGTCACCGTTTATATTGTTGAAAAAGAGATTTACAGTGAATAAGTTGTTAGTCTTGCAAAATTCTATCATGCAATCTGCAGCAATGTTTCTGTCACCAAGGCCATATTTTCCAAAGACTTCTTTGTTTCCACTTTTGCATTTCAATCACTGGTGATTAGTGATCAAGAGTTTGATGGTATTGAAGGAAGAAATCCAAGCTGCACTGGAGGTGTTGGCAAAAACCAAGCCTTCAGGAATTGAAAGAATACCAATCAAGATGTTTCAACAGATGGATGCAACACATACTCAATCATGTATGCCAAGAAATTTGGAAGACAGGTACCTGGCCAACTGACTAGAAGAGAGCCATATTTGTGCCCATTCCAAAGAAAGGTGATCCAACAGAATGTGGAAATTATCAAACAGTATCATTAATATCACATACAAGTAAAATTTTCTGAAAATAATTCAAAAATGGTTGCAGCAGTACATAAACAGATAACTGCCAGAAATTCAAGCTGGATTCAGAAGAGGATGAGGAACAAGGGATATCATAGCTGATGTCAGATGGATCTTGGCAGAGAATACCAGAAACATGTTTACATGTGTTTTATTGACTGTGCAAAAGTGTTCAACTGTGTGGATCTTAACAAATTATGGATAACAATGAGAAGAGTGAGAATTCCAGTACACTAAATTGTGCTCGTGAGGATCCTGTACATAGACCAAGAGGCAATCATTCAGATAGAACAAGAGGACGTTGCGTGGCTTACAATCAGGAAAGGTGTGAGTCAAGGTTGTATCCTTTCACAATACTTAATCTGTATGCTGAGCAAATAATGCGAGAAGCTGGACTGTATGAAGAAGTACGCAGCATGAGGATTGGAGGAAGATTCATTAACAACCTGCTATATGCAGATGATGCAAGCCTGCTTGCAGAAAGCTAAAAGGACTTAAAGCACTTACTGATGAAGACCCAAGATTACAGCCTTCAGTATGGATTACACCTCAGCATAAAGAAAACAAAATTGCTCACTACTAGACCAGTAAGCAACATCATGATGAACAGAGAAAAGGTTGAAGTTCTCAAGGATTTCATTTGACTTGGAGCCACAATCAGTGCCCACAGAAGCAGCAGTCAAGAAATCAAAAGACATAGTGCACTGGGCAGATCTGCTGCAAAAGACCTCTTTAAAGTGTTAAAGAGCAAAGATGTCACTCTGAAGACTAGGTGCACCTGACCCAAGCCATGGTGCTTTTTTTTTTTTTTTTAATTGTGATGTAGGTGAAAGTTTAGAGCAAATTTGTTTTCCACTCAACAGTTGATACACATTTTGTATTGTGACACTGATTGCAGTCCCCACGGTGTGACAGCTCTCTTCCCACTTCCTCCTTGTGGTTCCCTTTTCCCTGTGTTCTATCCTATGCAGTCCTGCGCTCTGTGCTATCTCCCTGCCTGTGCAAATGCTGCTCTTCTCATCTCCCATGGCCGATTGTTCTAAGGAGTGTATGTACCTGGTGTAACTGTTCACCTCGTAGGCCTATTGTTTGGCCAGAAGTTAAGCCTTGAAAGTGAGATCAATTCCAGGCCCCAAGTGTGACTAGGGGCCAGGTCTCAGTAATTTCACCAGTCTCTATTAGACAGTAAGCCTGGTCTTTTTTATGATTTTAAGTTTTGTTCCACATTTTTCTCCCACTCTATCTAGAACCTCCAATTTTTATCCCTTTCCAAGTGGTTGGCAATGGTAGCCAGGTACCATCTAGTTCTTCTTATCTCAGGGTCATGTAGGTTGAGGTTTGCATGGCCCACTAGTCCCTTGGAGTAATTGTTCCATGTCTTTATTTCTTTTCACTCTTCTTTGCTCCAGACAAGGAAAGCCCATTGTTGCATCTTAGATGGCCGCTCGTAAGCTTTTAAGACCTCAAATGCTACTCACCAAAGTAGGATGTAGAACAGGGTTTTTGTGTAGTATATTATGGCAGTTGGGCTTGATGTCCCCCACAACCACGGTCCCAAGCCTGTGCGCCCAGTGACTTACTCCCTCAAGGC